CGCCTTCATCTTCACAACTCATACTTCAATCCTCAGGGCACTGATGAGACCTGATGGTGTTTATACAGTTGTATTCAATTAGGAGCTAAGCTGTCATTCAAGCCTCATGCAAGTAAACAGGTGTGGAATGGTTCCTTCCACTTGAGGTTTCTGCCACCCGTCACTCTGAGCAGAGGAGAACTTAAAGTAGTTTAGAGGGCTATGATGATATTTGTTTTCTTCTGGTACTGAAATACTAAGTCAGTGATAGAAGAACAAAACAGAGCCAGAAAACTCAAGCGAATGTTATTATGTTATGACTGAGCAATAGAAACAAGCAGCTTACTCTGTTTTCACTGAAGTGTCTCATATAGGTGTCAAACAACAAACATACATTCTGTCTGCTGATAAATTCTTTTGGAATTAAGGGATTTGTGCTCAGGAGAAATAATGTGCAAGCATTGGAGGGGAATATCTCAGAGCCACCGAAAACGAAAATATTTTGGCCAGAACACAAAGCATCAGAGGGGGCTTGACATTTATGGTGTAAAACCTGCACAGAATGTCTAAACTCTCTCTGGAGACAGCACAGTAACTTCCAGTTTTCTATCTTAGGTTTAAAATAGAGAAAATAGACATTCAACACATTATTTGAGAAACGGAGTACAGCAAAAGTTAGGAAGAACAAAAGATCACCCTTAAAATGCTATGTTGGGGCACATGCTTACCTGTCTCTGACTGCAGCTTTGCAGAGAAACACTCCTTACAGACCTCTTTGTCAAGTTTTCTAACATGATGTTGTAAAAGGAGAGGGGGATTTTCCCTTCTCCTCATATCAGGCACAAATGAATTGTTCGCCTCCCAAAACCCAGTAGATCCTTCAAGACCAAAGCCATCAAGGACAATTTGCTTGGAGGATCTATGTTCCCAGTGCCCTGATAGTGCAGCTTTCATGCTACAAGGGCTATTCTTGGCTATACTTAAACCTTGGGCACCCCTATTTAATAGAGGTTCCAGGAATAGCCTGGAACTGCATTACCTTATTCTAGTAATCTGTTTGGTACTGACTGAAAGAATGTAACTACTTCAGCTTCCTCTCCCCTATTCTGTTCCCTCGCTTCCTGCATGGACCTGATCCTTCTGAAAGCCTTCTGTAGGATCCCAAGACAATGAAATGCATTGAGGGACCCCACTCCCTCAACATGGGAATAGGAGAAATCTGCATGTATGATAGAACAACATTCATTTAGCTGCTCTTCTACCAAGGCTGTATACACCATCATCAGCTTGTAGTGCCCCTCTGCTATCTGCATTGACCAGATAGAGTGATCCCTGTGTGAAAGAATGAAAGACACACAAGCCTGTGACAGAACGTTCTAATTTCCCTGAACATCCCATCGCTGACCTCAGAGTAGCTGTTCTCGCTTGACCTCAGAGTAGCTGTTCTCGCTTGACCTCAGAGTAGCTGTTCTCAGACAACAAAACTTTTGAAAACAACTTGAATGGGAAATTGCAGAACAAGAAATCATCCGCGAACTGGACTGTGTTAAATATTGTCTAAACTAAGACTATGATTCTTATCCCATTACCTGGATTAGCTTTTATAACCCCTATAGCAGGGACCTCAATGGGTTAACTGCCTTGGTGTTCTCTCTGTTACCCACCCAGCAGTATCTCCTTTTTCCTCCCTTTTCCCTATCCTCTGTATTCTAATTACTGCTTTCTGTTCAGAAGGTCTGCTTCCTGCAGTCCCCTCAAAGCATCTGATGAAGTAAGATGCTGCTTAAAAAAGCTTACACATATCTTATTTAGTTAGTCTGTAATGTGAAAATCTACCTTGCTTTTTGCAGAACATACATCAGGCTCATTTTAAAATCATTGGGTTTGAACCAAAGCCCACTGAAGTCAATGAGAAGACTCCTGTGTTCACCAAGGGTCTTTGAAACATGCTTTCACTTCCAGAATAGCTAAATATTAGCAAAAAATTAGAGACAGAAAAATGTTGGCTTTGATAAAACAACATCTTTTTACTATTAAACAGCGGTCAATAAGACTACAATGTATCATTATGAAAAACGTGTGCCAAGTTTCCTATTTTTTTCCTCTGGAAATTGACACAGTAGTATTTTCTCATATAGAAATTGTGTCAGTTGTAACAATGATGAAACCTTGGATTAAAAATTGTTTTTATACTTGTAATATGAAGTCCAGACCTATATTACTTCAAATTAGCAGTATAGTTAGTTCTACAAGGACCAAAGACCTGTAACTTTCCATTTATTGCTTCTTGCCAGGAGTTGGGAAATCCTGATATACAATTTCCATGAAATTCTCTTCACACATAAGAGCATTGCACCATGCAAGGATTTTGCAACTAGGATTCCAGAATTTTTTCTCTCCCTAAGCTGGCTTTCTGTTGTTCTTCATAGCAAATTCTGTCATCCGATTTTTACAGCACTTGTGGAAAAGTTAGCTAGAAAAGTGCGCATCTTACTTTTGGTGAAGTATGCCAATTTACAAGTTTATTTTGTCAGAGCAGTTGTGTTTGAAGAGAAAGGTAAACTTTTTTTTCTCTTTAGAAGAGCCTGACTCTTTTCTTTACAGTTAACGGAAAATATCTCTTACTTCAGTAAATGCTGAATTGGTATTCAAAACACTAAGGAGTCACAGATTATCTGTCCTCTTCAGATAATCTGTTGGGTAACATGACTTGGGTACTGCAGTACTAATCATCTGCTGATAAGTTAACAGTGTAACCATCACCTCTGAATTCCTGCTCTTAGTTCCACAAAAGAATAGAGATCTAAGTCTGGCAAGTAAGGTATTAAACAATTTTCCTTTGTGGTCATATTTTAAATGACAGTTTAACTCCTGGGTGTTAAGTAAATTCTATGTATACTATCTGTTTTTTCTGGTCTCTTTCCTGCTTATGGTCCTCTTCACTGTGACCTGTGGGTGCCTCCTATGTATGATCTCTTGGTTGCTTCTTTGGTCTGTTCCCTTTGTGTTCAACTACTCAGCTTGATGGCAACACACCCCCTTGGTAGTAAACACTGTTGTCCAGGGCCTTTTTTGAAACTATGGATGTGGATCGATCCCAGAAACTCTCTAACCTTCAGCATCTCTTGTTAAGTGGTTCTCTTTTTTGTGGGACTGATATGGGAACATACTTTTAACAAAGAAACTATGATTTATTCATAGTTTCATAGCTGGTAGGGTCGGAAGGGACCTGAGCAGATCATCAAGTCCGACCCCCTGCCATGGGCAGGAAAGAATCCTGGGGTCAAACGACCCCAGCCAGGTGATTATCTAGCCTCCTTTTGAAGACCCCCAGAGTAGGAGCAAGCACCACTTCCCTCAGAAGTTGGTTCCAGATCCTAGTCGCCCTGACTGTGAAGTAGTGCCTCCTTATATGTAGCCTGAATCCACTCTCAGTCAACTAATGGCCATTATTCCTTGTCACTCCTGGTAGTGCTCAGGGGAACAGGGACTCTCCCATTGCCTGCTGGTCCCCCTTGGCCAGTTTATAGATGGTCACCAGATCCCCTCTTAGCATTCTCTTCTGGAGGCTGAACAGGTTCAGGTCCCATAGCTTCCCCTCGTATGTCCTGCCTTGCTGTCCCCTGATCATGTGAGTGGCCCTCCTCTGGACCCTCTCGATGCTGGCCACATCCCTCCTGAAGTGCAGTGCCCAGAACTGGACGCAGTACTCCAACTGCGGCCTGACCAGTGTTGCATAGAGGGGGAGGATCACCTCCTTGGACCTGCTTGTGATGCATCTGTGGATGCATGACAAGGTGCAGTTAGCCTTCCTGACTGCGTCCTCATATTGGCGGCCCATGTTCATCTTGGAATCAATAATGACTCCAAGATCCTTTTCTGCCTCTGTGCTGACAAGAAGAGAGTTCCCCAGCCTGTAGGTATGCTGCTGGTTCTTCCTCCCCAGGTGCAGTACCTTGCACTTGTCAGTATTGAAACCCATCCTGTTCTCATCCCCCCCCCCCTGTAACCTGTCCAAATCTAGTTGCACCCTGACTTCTCCTCTAGCGTGCCCACTTCTCCCCACATCTTAGTGTCATCTACGAATTTGAACAAGGTGCTTTTCACCCACTTGTCCAAGTTGCTGATGAAGATGTTGAAACAGAAAGAAAAATGAATTAAGTGAAACTGTTGGTTTAACACATTTAGTCAGAATCTTTTCAAATTAACTTACTTGAGGGTTTCCTATCTTTGTTATGGTTTTATCTTTTCTTCTACATGTCCTTGTGCTGTCATCATCTTCTCACAATCATCTCCTGCTATTGTTTCCAGAGGCCTTTTCCTCCCTCATCCAGATCATTAAACCCAGTACCTGAACCAGTTTGCATGGTCAGACATGCCTTTTCTTGATCCATAGCAATTATCCTCTGCTTTCTAAACTATTTTTTCCTGGTTATTCATTCATACAACAACAGGGTTTGGAATTGTTACATTCTCTAAAACGGAAGTGGCCAACCTGTGGCATGGGTGTCACAAGTTGTATGGACAGTCTCTGTGTGTGGCAGGCAGAGAGGGAACAGGGAGCAAAATATCAGCTAGGGCAGGGAGCAGAAAACAGTGTATCAGATTGGGGAGACAGCAAAGGAAGGAAGCAGGAAGTGGATCAGGCAGTGCATACAAGGCTGGGACTAGAAAACAGAGCAGCAAATGGGTAGGGGATTGAAAGGTACAGGGCCAATTTGTGGCATGCTTGCCAGAAAAGGTTGGCTCCTATCACTCCAGAAGATGGTTCACTGAAGATACAAAGACCTATCATCAATTATTAACACCCACCTTTCATAGGGTTATTAACCCAGCTTAGATACTTTACTTCTGCTTCGGTCAGTTTCTATACTTCTATAAAATGGCCTTCAAAAAGTAAAGAGAAAAAGTGGCAGGATTTCTGGAGGATTGCTTACCCAGACCATTGTTTCTGAATGTTACTAATAAGTTAATTTACTACAAGCTGGCTAGTAGGGACCAGAAAACAAACACAATTCTACCTTTATACCAAGGTCTTATCAGTATCTTCAGAATCTCAGCATTCTAGGCTAGGGATAGAAATTACACATTAGCTGGTACAAGTGATTGGAAAACAGTTCAAATCTGTAACACAGAGAAGTTCAGCATTGGCAACATGTAGAGGGTGTATATGGGTGCATGTGCACCACCTGAGATTGGCCATGCCCCCCTGAGAAGTTGTGTTGACGCTGCCGCCAGGCAACCCAGCTGCAGACTGCTGCAGCAAGGGTGGGGGGGGAATGGTGCGCCTGGCTCACAGCTGGCCCAGCACAGCGGGCACAGGCAGGTAAGTAAGGTTTCTTTGGAAGGGGTTGGGGGGCGGGGGGATCAAGACCCACAGTGCAAGAGGGAGTGGGATAGGAGCAGTGGCAAATGATTCACCCCCACCCCTGCCCTGTTCCCTGCTGCACTGTGGGGATTACCCCATGACCCGGCCTGGCCAGGGCCCCATTCACTGTCAATGGGGCCCCAGCCAGGTTGGGTCACAAGGCGATTGAAGCTCAGTGGCTCCCACTGCTGCGTGCACTGTGGGGGAGCTGGGGGAGGGGTGGAATGTTCTCCCAACCCCTTGGCTCCAATGTGCCATGGCCCTGGATAAGCCACTGGGCTCTGATTGTCCCATGACCTGGCCCAGTCGGGGCTTCATTCACGGTGAATGGAGCCCTGGCCGGGCCAGGTGGTGGGACAAGCAGAGCCCAGCAGCTCCTGCAGAGTCACAGCAAAGGGCAGCACATGTCCCTTCCTCCCCCACGATCATTGCATGGGCAAGGGCGGGCTGCAGATGTGAGGTGAGCTGGGATCTGCCTGCTCTGTGCCTTGCTGTAGCCTTTGAAAGTGGCACAGCACAGCGCCATGTGCCTCGCTGCCCAGCTCACCCAGCGGTGGGACACACATGGCAATGTGCAGCTTTTAAAGGCTGCAGTGAGGCACGGAGCAGGCAGAGTCCAGCTCGCCTCGCAGCTGCAACCCACCTTTGCCCTGTGCAGAGATTGGGAGGAGGGGGGCATGTGTCCCCCTTGGCTCCCTGGTGCTGCGACTCCGCAGGAGCCACCAGGGATGACTTAGGCAGGGACAGGCAGGGGTCCCAGGGGCTTCATCACTTTCAGACTTGTGGTGCAGTCGAGGCTGGCCCCGCTTCAGCTCCGGGCACCCCAGGTGGTGTGGGGCTGGGGCTGGACTGCGGCTGGTGCAGGGAGGCAGCCAGGGCCAGAGCAGGGCTGCGGGGCAGTGGATGCCAGTGCTAGGCAGTGACCCCTGGTGCAGGGGAAGGGGCAGCTACATGGGTGCAGAGGACCCCAACCCTGAGCCCGATCCCTTCCCAGCCTCACTCCTTTCCCCTCATGCCCAGCCCTAGCCTTCCTCCTTCCCCTCCCTTCCCAAGGACTTTCATGTGTGGGGGGGGGGGGGG